TGTGCCCTTGGGATTTTGGCCTCCTTGCTCCTCCCTGTGGTTGTAATAATGAACCTTAAAATACACCCTGATATGCTGGCTTTTCTCATGCCCCACTCTAACTTGGGCCCTAATATGTCAAACACTAGTTATCTTCTATAGACCAAAGGTTCTTTGAATTCTTTTAAAAGCACAAGACCGAATCCTCACCATCCTCTGTAGGTGGGGTGACGAGCTCCGATATGATTGTGTGGACAGACTGGCTGGTTCTTTAGGCTATTAAGGGTTCTGATGTTACTGGCTGTGGGTTGCTATATTTTCCTTTACTAACTTTAGCCTTGTTTGGAGTGTGTGGCTGTCCCTGTGGCTTTGTGGCTTCTGGCTTTCTGGCTTTCTGAGATTTATTTGTTTCTTGCTTTAACATACCAAGACTGAAACCTTTATTAGGACGTTTCATTTTTGGATGTATTTCATCATGTGACTGGTATTTAGGGATGCCTTGTATGAACAAGAATAAAACAGGCGAGCGTGTTTTATCCAAAAGATAAAATAGGCACAAATGACCGATGCAAAATAGGATGATGAAGCAGTTGTCCAGTTGCCACATTTGGGGGGCTGATGTGGTCATACTTGGGGTTCCTGAGAGGCCTCCCTGCTTTTGAATGGTGATAATGACTACCAATGGGTGTCACTGCTATGGGGAGAAATAACTGAAAAGGAACTTCAAAGGTTTTGATTTAACTAAACATTTCTCCTGGGGTGCACAAACATCGATTTTGTGAAAAGAAGTGTGGAATGATTCAGCTGTTAATTCTTCCTGAACTTACTATTACCTTTCTCGTTTGGAAAATCAAGTAGTAAGCACAGAAGGTGCTTTGTGTCTCTTAACTTTTTCTAAATCAGCTGTTCTCGGGCACCGTCTCTACCTCACACATGGGCTTATTGGTCTTGAGGTGCGTGCCCAGTAATTTATGGCAAGTAATAAAGGGTGGATCTTTCAAATGATTCACTGATGTCCCTTTAATAATGCCATTTTTTCTGGCACATGCACTCTGATTTGTGGTCTCCAGTGGGAGAGAAGGGAGTGGGGCCACGTACCAGGAAAGCCAGGGGTTTATCCATTCAGCAGGTGTTTACTGGGTGCTTGCTCTTCCAGGCCTGCACGGGGCAGGCAGTTTCCCTGCGCAGGCCAGTTGCTGGACACAGCGGAGTCTCAGTTCATGAACTTAAGTCTGTCCACAGTTCTGGTTGTGACCGAATACACACTTGCAGTTCAGCGACAGCCGGAATTGTGGACTAACTTCTGCAATGAGAATCATGGAAAGCATTAAATTTGTAGACCCAGGTACCATATGCTCTTGTCATGGGCCTTGTAAACAAGCTCTGCTGATGCACAGCTCCTTGTGTCCAGGTACTGAGCATCTGCTGACACCTGTGAGTTGGCTTAGGATGCTTGGCACTGAGGGATGCGCAAAGACAGGTACTGCCCTGCCCCCACAGAGCTGGGTGGGGACCACAGTACTGGTGGCAGGGTCACCTCAGCCATGCTGGGCTTTGTAGGGGACAGCCTAGATGCAAATGAGGGCAAGGGCTCCCTACAAAGGAGATACAGTACAAAGGATGCTTATCCTGGAGATGAGTGTGGCAGGGGCTCCGCTGAGGACCAGGGACTGTCCCTGGTGTCTGGCAAAGAGCAGAGAAGTTAAATGGAGTCACACAGAGCTGGCATGGGGCAGTCCTGAGGGGCTTCTGAGTTACCGGAAGGGTTTCAGACTGAACTCTAAGGGTAGAGGAGACTGCTCCACGTTTTCAGAAGTGAGAGCGACCTGGACAAAACTCTCAGGCAAGAGGACACCACAGAGGTGGGAAGGATGAGCTAGAGGCTGCCAGTTACCACTAAGGAAAAGGGAAGGGGAGCTGGGAGGGCAGCTTGGTGCCTTGGTCCTGGGAGCCCCCCACTCTATGATCTGCTTTGCTCAGCTCTAAAGGGGCTGGCTGGGGAATTATCGAGGCCCAGCAGTGGCCCTTGTAAAGCTGCCTGCCCTGGTAAAGCTCACCTTTCAGTGTCCTAGAGGGAGGTGGCAAGCAGTTGGGTGGGAAAAGGAGACCTGCAGGGGTGCTGGGAGGAAAAGGCAGGAGGACAGAGGCAGAGGTGGAGCAGGCAGGGGTCCCTGGAAGAATGGTGGGGGTGAGGAGCTCTGGAAGGGAGTGGGGCCTTTGAGTAGAAGAATCAGGAAAAGCTTTGCTGAGAAAACAATTCTGTCCTTTGAGAGCACTCACCCGTTTTCTGTTTGTTGGGGTTGATGTTTTTGTTTGTGCAGTACTGGGGAGGGCACCCAGGGTCCCAGTCTGACTAGCCAGATGCTGTGTATCCAGCCCTCCTCTTGCAGGTTTTGTTTTCTGCTAAAAGCAACCCAGGGCAAGTTCTGCTCTTCCAGCCAAAAGCTTCTGAGTACTGCATTATTTAAGAAAACAAGGTGTATGAGTGGCTTACCAGAGGGGAAACAGAAGTTGCAGACACACACAAGGGCATGTACTTGGGGGTCCCTGGACACAAACGTGCTGTGTCCCCTGGCACTGGCCATGTACCCAGAGTGATGTGCATCTGCCATATTCCTCGAACCTTGCCATGGAGGGTAGGGACTCCAGCTCCGGGCCCATGGAGTGTCGGGCACACTTCCTGGGACACAGTTGGTGCTCACTCTATGCAGGGGAATTTTAGGGTGTCCCTGCAGCACCCCATTCCACACAGAAGTGTTGCCAGGTCAGTGGTCACTTCTTGGTCTGCAGGAGCCATGCTGTGTACTGTCTGGCCTGCCCTGTGACAGTGACATCAGCTGTCTCAACCCCAACTTAGATTGTTCTTCTTGTTAGTCTCAGAGCAGGCCTCTTGTCACCTGCAGAAGGTTCTGTCTCGAGGGAGGCAGGCCATCTGTGCTGCTCCCACCAGCTGTGTTTAGAAGTACTGCAAGGCTGTCATGGTGCGGAGAGGCTGGGGCCATTAATGCGTGGTGTGACGGCTGGAAATACTGCGGCATGCGTGCCTCCCGATGACAGAGCTGTTACAGGTGTACCAGGGGCGCGTTCAGCAGCAGGTTTAAATCTTGGTGAGGTATTTTCCCCCAGCCATCCACGTAATGCTTCTCACTCTCACAGGCTTAACTCTGCTTGTTCCCTGGTTTTCTGCTCATGCAGAATCTGTTTCTAGGGTGAGATATCTTTTTTTTTTTTTTTTTTTTTTTCATGCTCTGGGCTTCCATTATGATTAGCGCCAGTTTGACAAAATCTAGCCACTGCGGGCAGTTGCTTGGTCAGCACCTGGGCTGTCTGTAGGAAACCCGGTGTTTAATGTTCTCACGCACCTGAGAGGAGCCCTACCCATCTCCTTCCCCATCCTCCTGGCCTTGCTAGGTTCTGTTTCCTGCTCCTCCTTGTAATTACTGGGATGTAATCAGAACCTTGATTGGTGTGCAGGTAGGTTTTCCTGGAGTGACTGGTCGATTACTTCAGGGTCTTTTCTGGCTTGCGGACACAGTCCTTGCACTTCTGAGGTGGTTTCTCACAGACTGTGCCTGAACCGTTTCTGCTTAACAGCACTCACTTGTTTGATCCTTTGAAGCTTCATGTGAAAGGACTGTACTAAACAGCTAATTACTGAGGCGCTTTGCCTGGTTGGGCCCGCGGCTGGCCTGCAATCCAGAGCTGGGGAGCTCAGGCTCGGGTTCCCCTTCATTCTTCCTTCTCTGCAGGTGTGCACTGGGGTTGAGGTCCTTGAGTTCCTTCCGTGATGGCTGTGATGGCTTTGGCCAGTCCTGTGACTTCTGAGTGCTGCTGAGCAAAGCCCCTTGGTTCTGAGCTCTACCTTCATTTGCTGAGGCTGCGGTAACTGGCAGTACAGACAGGAGGCAGCACCAGCAGAACCCTTGCTCTCCCCTTTCTCCGGGCTGAAAGTCCCAGATAGAGGTGTAGTAGCTTGGATGCCCTAATGCCCCTGGCCTGGTGTGACAGCGGAGCACCTGGACACTGTGCGTGCATGTGCAATCCCCCCTCCACCTCTGGTGACTCCTCCTCTGCTACCCGTCAGGCTCCTCATTTGGCCAAGTTCCGTCTCCAAATACTCTGGCACGTTCTGAGGCTGTCTGGGTGTTAGCACTTCCCCATAATGAATCGTGGGGGGCACAGTTCAGACCATAAAGTCCTTTCAGATGACGGCCGCCACGTAGACGTCTGAGTGCTGTGCGCAAGAGAGTTTCTCGGGGAGATGAGAGATTCTAAAGGGGAAGAAAAGGCCCCCAGCCCCTGATGCCTCACCCACTCCAGCTAGGCAGCAGGGACAGCAGAGACGCCATCCTGGCCCTTGTGCCTGTCAGGCTGCCGGCCCAGGCCTCACCAAGCATGGTGAGCTCTTTCTTGTCTGCCCACACGGCAGTCACTAGCAAGGTCATGGCAGTCGTTTTAAACCACTACACTTCCAGGTTTATTAGCACAGCAGCAGGCCACTGGAGTGCCTGCTTTGCAAGTGCTGCTTTAGTTGTCAGATCTGACAGCTCAGAGGCTGAAATGGCTTCATTGACTTTTTGTTGTTTTCTTGTTTCCTTTAGGTGATTATTTTAATAAGCATAATTTCAGGCTTTTGGGTGAGTTATTCTCAATGTTAATTTTGTTATGGCTTGAAAATCTTGACTAACAAAGCATTTGTGGAATAACTTCATCAATGTAAAGCGTCTGCGTGTTGCTTTGCATTCGTTAACCTCGGTGCTATCAGCCCAGCTGAGCTGAGAGCTCTGCTTCTGGCAGCCTCCCACATAAGCAGCTTTCGCAAGGCAGGCTAAGTGCATGCCACAGACTGCAGGCCGTTAGAGGTCACCTGATGTGAAATAATAGAAGCGGTAGAGACTTGAGTAGAGGAAGTGATCTGCACCAGGGTCCTGCAGGCCCGGAGCACAGCAGACCAGAGATTGCTTTAACCCTGCAGCCCAGTGGTTAAAGGAGAGACTGTGAAGCCCTTCTGCGGCAGCTGTTCCGTCTGCTGCTGTGGGTGTGGAGTGCAGCCTGGTTCCTGAGGCGCTTTGCAAGTCTCCAGCACACCGTGGAGGATGTGCCTGGCAGGTCAGAAGCCGGTGGTGATGAAGGATGCTGCTGGAGGCATGGTTTGGGGGGCTGGGTACTCAACCACACCCCCCGCTCTGCCCAGCGCTCTGTCCTCGGGACCTGCAGGCACGGGAGCCACCAGCTGCTCCTCTAAGCTGGATGTGTGTCCCATGGAGAGAAGAGTCAGGACTCCTCTTGTCATCACTGAGGTAAATGTGACTGCTAACATTTCCCCAAGCTCTTTTGAGGAATTCTAACATTTTCCACTTTTAATTACAGGGACTGAAAAAGAGAAAACCCAAACTTATGCACTTGAAATGGATCAACTAAGTGTTAGGGGATTTGAATTTCTAAATAGTGTGTTTCTTAAAGAGAAATAGTGTTTTCTTTCTTCTACAGAAACAGTTTTTCTGTAGTTTTTAAAACAGAACTATAGCTGGAGATGTAGCTCGGTAGCACAGTGCCTGCCTGGCAATCACAAGGTAGCCAGTTTGATTCCTGTTACCAGAAAACAAGACCAAACCTTAGAGCTATAGTAAGACTTTGGAGATTGTCCATAAAATTTCACCTGTTCCACCGGGGTATTTTTAATGGGAAGTAGGACCGTTATGCACACAGAAATTGAGCATTACCAAACACACATGAAACACTGTCCTCCATATGTGATGCTTCGGTCAGCTCTTTGATGATGAGGGTTTCACTTAGAGGAGCAGAAGTGCTAGGACTCCTGTCACCTAAGGAAATGCAAAGTAAGACCTCAGCTGCTGCGCAGAGCAGCTGTGACTGGAGGGAGCTGTGATTCTGGGATCGCCGTGTGCTGTGTGCCAGTTAAGGTAGGTCTCATTGGTCGAGAATCAAGTTTCATTTGGGCGGTGGGGCTGCAGCTTGGTGAGTGTGGTCTTAGCACATGCTCTGTGTTGGTGGCAGAGCTTCGTAGAAGGCCTGAGTCTTCAGCTTGCTTCCTTCATTGCAGGCACAGTCCTACTGGGGAGGTTGCCTAGGGCGTGCGTGGCCAGGTGGCCTTTCAGATGAGTTTTGAAGGGTGATCTGGATTTGTACAGGAGAGTAGCACTGAAGACACAGGCATGTGGTCAAAGCCTGAAGTGCTTGGGGAAGGAGACCGTAGGAAAGTGAGGTCAGAGCTGCCATCAGCTGCTCAGCAGGTTGTGCGTGGCATGGTGGATAATGACAGAGAGAGCCCTGGCCACATGGAACTTGTGGTCTATTGGCTGACAAAGACAATTTGAACATGGCAAGGTGCTGTAGGGCTTTATGAGAGACACTGCAGGGAGGCTGACATTTGTTTTCTGGGAGGGAAGGATCCCTTGTAAACTGAGGTAGGGAGTGTGTTAAGCAGGCAGAAGAGAGAGGCGCCCTCCCTCTGGGGGGTGCTGGGAGACAAGCATTGTGTTTGGAAATCCTGGGGCGGTGAGAGGGCAGGAGGGTGAGCCCTGAAAGGACACTGTGGAAGAGCTCCTCGTGTGCTGCTGGGCGTACTCATTCCGGCGACCTAGCTGGAGCAGAGTCAGGTGTTCCCAGGACCGGATAGAACTGCCTTTTGTAGGCCTCTTCCCCACCCCATCTCCCTGCCAAAGTACAGTCCAGTCCTACTCGGTGTGAAGGTCTGGATTAAACTCATGGGGTCAAAGTCATCATTTGGTGACCTAGTGGTTTATTTTCAGAGTTTGGGCAGCACCCAGTGAATTTTGGGGGACTTTGACCCCACAGGCTGAGCAGCGAGGGACCAGAGAAGTCTTTCCTTCCTGCACTCAGCCATTGTGCCCTAAGCCTGGCCTCCCCTCAGGTCCCAGCAGTTCCGCTGTTCTGCGCCTGTCCGAAGGAAGCAGCCATGGGCCTCCTTTCTCTGTGTCCAGGACAGCTGGGTGGCACTGTCAGGGTAACTGCAGAAAGACAGCTCTCTTCCGGGCCACCCTTGCAGTCTGGGTGGTCTATTTCCTGGGCTCCAGTCTCCACGACCTTGGCCATTTCTTGCTGAATGGTACTGTGACCAGGTAGTTCCTTTAGGAATAGCTTACTGATTAAACATGTTCTAGGTCCTTCTTGCCTTGAGCAAAGAATTAAAGATGACAAGCCAAAAACAGTGCCAAAAGTGTGTTTGAAAAGTGAAGTAGAGAAGACACACGTTGGGCCGCTGGGAGGCTTCCAGCAGCAGACCCCTGGTAGCGCCCTGTTTCTTTTACGCCGTCTCCATCTCATGGGGACCTACGAGAAACTTTATGTACAGGGAATTACTCAGTACAGTCCAATGCTGGTCCCTCATATTTCTGAGCCAACTTTGACATGCCCTACCTCCTGTGTCAGCACCAGCAGTAGTGTCAGACTGGTGAACCTGTGGTCCCACCCCCAGACCAGCTCCTCCTACGGTGTCATTGAGTACCTTTGTGTTCTGTGATGGCAAGTAGGGGGCTGCTGCCCTGCTTGCCTCTCCTGCCTGGCCCGGGCTCCCCAGCTCTTCCTCTGCCCCGTACTTCTGTGCTGCAGAGGAGCTTCCAGGTCAGAAACTAAGCTTGCTGTCACCGCTAAGGAGGAGTTATCAGAATCTGGACCGTTTTCTGTTTCTTCACTTCTCTTTTCCCCATGGTGATGGAGCGGAAGTTCTGGCTTCCCCTGCTGGCTCCATCTGGCCTGGTTGTCTCTAACCCCTTGGGGGACTTCCCAGAGGTTGGCTCATGGGTCCTGAAGGTTGCACCTGTCCTTCCTGGTGTCCTGCTCCATGCTGGGTCCTGTGCAGAGTGCTGCTTCTGCTGGCCTTGGAACTGATGAAAGGGAGAGGGGCTGTTCCTGGTCATGGGCAGATGAGGAAACAGTCATGGCGTGGGAGCAGCCTGTCGAGGTTCACTAGGCTAGTACAGGGCAGAGCTGTAATTTGAACTTGCACTTTTCTGATACCAACATGGTTATTCTTTTTTAAAAAATGTATTTAGGACAGGGTCTGCAGCGTCACACCACATAGATAGGACTTGTAGTGATGCATAGGTCAGGATTCAAAGTTTCCCAGGCACCTTGCCCCAAACACTCTTCCTCTTGGTTTCCCGGGCACCCTGCCCCCAAACTCCCTCCTCCTTGGCCACATGCAGAGCCAAACCCAAAACCACAGAACAGGTCCACCTGACTTTGACCTGGGCAAGCAACCACGAAATTCTGCTTTGTTAACATTAAAGGTCCCCCCACAGACCAGGAAGCCTGCCAAGATTAGCTCTCCCTCAACTGTTCTAGCCTGCGTCACCCTCCTTCAAAGATCCTATAAAGTCTCCTATCCCCCTTTATTTGCTGCTGTCTTGGTCTGTTAGACAACCAGCCTGCTTGATGTTCCCAATAAATCTACTCGCATCAGAATGCCTGGTCTGGTTGATTGCGTGGGTTCATACCTAACAGTGATCCTCCTGTTTTCAGCCTCCCAAGTGCTGGGATTATAGGCCCGCACCACCACACGCAGTAGCAGTTGAGTGCGCCTGGGGCAGGGCCAGCATGGCACACCAGGGATGCACACCAGGAATCCACAACAGGGATCGAACCCCAGCCGCAGGCACTTAAGTCTGCTGAGCCATCTGGCCAGCCCCAACATGGTTATTCTAAAGTCACACCTTTATCTCATGGGTTCAGCAGAAGTTTTACACCGTTTTGTTGCATCTTTTAGCCAAACTCTTGCATATTGGATGTTCTCATTAAACATGAACACAAAACTTTACTCTTTTCATGAAATTACCAGCAAGGATAAATATTTTTTTTTTTTTTAACGTTTGTAACTTAGATGAGCTTTTTGAGGAAAAAATACTGCTTTTCCTCCTATGTATTACATTCTTAGTATGTTTTCAAACATCAAATGCATGATTTTTGTGAAAGAAAAACTGTTTCTTGTCCTGCCTGCCTTTCTGTTTACCTGAGTGTGTTACAGTTGAGTTCATCCTCCAAGAAGTCCTGCCTTGGTCATTCTCTAGTTTCCAGGACAGTCCATTGTGTTATCTTCCTTCCTCCGGAGCGGCCGAATGATCCTGCAGTTGTGCTCATACCCTTGTGATGGGTCTTTGTCCCGTGCTCCTGTTGGCGTCTGGAGGCCCGTGGTTGCATTTGGTTTATGTACAGCTTGCAAGAGGAGCGCTGGGCGCTTCCCCCTGCAGTAAAGCTCAGCATGTGCCTGGAGTCCAGAGCCACCGCGTGTTGGGATTTCTTCACAACCTTGATCTTCCTGTTGGTGTGCAGGAAGGGAATTGCTCTTCCCAGCTAGTCGCTTCCCAACAGTACCGAGTACAACGCGGCCCAGTGAAGGCACAGGCAGCAGCGGGCCAAGAAAACGGCCTTGCGTGTGCTTCTCCCGAGTGTCGACTGGAACCAGATGCGGCCTCTCAGCTTTTGGCGCAGGTCGGGTGCCTCAGATCCTCCTGAAAGCGCGCACAGCTTTGGGCTCCCTCCCTGTGATGCGTGTGAGCCTTTTCAGTGGCGTGGTGTGTGTGACCCAGGGATTCAGAAAGCCATTCTTTGCAGACGAGCTCCTTGCGCTAGCAGATGGTGGAATACCAGAGCACAGGCGCTGTCTTGATGCCAGTGTTCTGCGGGGGAGGCAGAGGCCGAGTCCTGGCAGCACTGCAGGGGAGTAATTCAATCAGCAGATTCTGATAATGTAATAAACTACACGGGGTGAAACTTGAGTGGTTCACACACACCAGAACGCCCTTCAATTGGATTATTGTCTCATAGCAGTGTCTGTTCTTGTACTGCTGCTTTAAATATTAAAAGACAATGAAAGTCACTTTCTCCCACTGAAGCACGACAAAAGACACACACATCTCTGCCACTTTGTAATTTGGGTTGCACCTCTGTGACCGACCAAGCTCCTCGTTTAGGTTTGTGAGTGGGGGACGAGGAATGCGCAGACTCTGCTGTGATTGCGTGGAGACCGGTGCCCCGCCGGCTGTCCTGACCTGCGAGGAGGAGGGGAGCCCGGCTGCTGGGTGGGGCCTGGGAGCGGCGCCTCAGGGAGGGGTTTGGGGCTCCGGTCTCCAATTCAAAAGCTCTGACACACCTGCCTCTCCAGGGTGCATGTGAGACTGGAGATGCCGATGAGGCCTTGTCATTGTCACTGATAATGTAAGGTAAAGATCACAGGGGTGTCTGTCTTGAGCTCTGGAATCAGGTGCTAGGATCACAGAGGCTTCCTGTGGACAGACACCGCAGCCAAGGAGGGGTGGAC